ACGACCATGGGCGTTATTTCGAGGTTTGGCCCGAATTATGCTTAATTTAGGCCGGAATTCATAATTTCACCCCTGCGGTTATTTCGCGGTAATACGGTATATTATATAAAAAAAAAATTCTTAATACTCGCACCCTAACCCTAAAAATAATTAGGGGTGGTGATGATCACCACTGGTTATTTTAAGTATATTTCTTTTTTTTAAATAAAAAATTTAAATTCAAATATTTAACAATATATCTTCCAACTCAATTTAATCTTCTGGTAGCGGTATTTTGCTGGTCGCCTTAATCTTTTTTTCTGGCCAGCATTTATAAATAATCCAAGCAGCTACTGCTAATAAAAGAACACCACCAAAAACACAAGGAAGAATTATTTGCAATGGAATATTGGTAGAAGTAATATATACGCTAAGAGCTAAAGGACCTCCACAAATCTGATTATTATCACCAGCACAACTAGTACTACATTCATATGAACTTAATTGACTTATATGATCATACTCATGTGCACAAAAACATTGAGTTCCCATTTCTAATCCAGCATATTCAAAATTGTTTTGTCTACAAAAGTCAATACATTTGTTAACCGTCATGCTTGCAAGCTCTAGTTTTGTACCATTTAATATCCTTTGATCACAATAGGGACTGTCTTTAACGCATTGTTGGTATCGATTATCGTTATTATGATTCTTAATTATCGCAATTTTATCAGTAATACTTATGGTAGGTAGTGGATGACCTAATACTCCATCTTTTGTCTTATAAACCGTATAACTTTCTTCCCCACCACAAATATAACTCGAATTGCCGATACATTTAACATTACAAATTGAGTTATTTGTTTTAGTATATGATAGCGTTAAATCAGCATAATTTCCACATTGACATTGACTCCCATTCCGAAGTGCTGCAATCTCAAAGAGAAAGTCAGTACACCGAATAATACATAATCCAGGGTACAAAGATAAAAATAAAATAGGTTGCACGGTCAAGGGTTTGAATAAAGGTTCAACCGGTCACTGCATTCAACCAAGATCACGAGGATCACATGATCTCTCGGACATGCTTGTCCGTTTCGTTTCGGAACTTTGGGAGTTAGTTTAGGTGTAACACTCCTCCCTTCTTATTTACGAGTTCCACGAGTAAGTATAAATTCAAGAGGAATTATTGTTTCTCTTATAATACCGCTTCAGTAACAATACATTGATAGGTGTATTCAAGATTTGTCCATCACGGGTTTTGAGCTTATACACATCTTGTGTAACTCTAGAGTGTATAAAATAGGGTCCCTTCCATTTCGGCAACAATTTTCCAGAAAAACTCTTACTGACTGTCATGTCGTACAGCAGTACCGGGTCGTTTTCTTGGAATATTCTTTTGACCTTCTTATGTTTCCGGTCCCAATAAAACCTTTGCCGGTTTTGGGATTTAATTACATTTTGTTTAGCTTTTTCCCTTATTTTAGGCAGATCTTCTACTATATTATATAGTCGAGTTAAGATATTTTCTTCCAATATCTCTTGTTGGAAAATCGGCAAGTGGGCTTCTCGACCGTAGGTTAACAAAAAGGGCATCATTTTTGTGGTGGATTGTTTAGCGGTGCGATATGCAAACAAGACCGAAGGTATCAGCATATCCCATCGATCCTCCGTATTGGATAACTTGGCTAACGATTCACATAAGGTTCGATTGAATCTTTCTACAAGACCATTGGTTTGCGAATGGTAAGGTGTTGATAACTGATGTTCGATTTTGAATTTTTCCATCAACCCTTGCACTAACATATTATCAAAATGCTTTCCTCTATCGGTTAACATGTAGGTAGGGCATCCGTGTCGACAGATGATTTCATCGTACAAGAAATCAATTGTGCTATGCGAATCTGCCGTAGGTACAGGTCTCGCTTCTGGCCACTTGGTTAAGTAATCTGTGGCTACAATGATATATTTATTTCCTCTAATTGTGGTCGGGAGCGGTCCTACATAGTCTACCCCAATTCGATAAAAGGGTGTTTCTACAGGTATCGGCTGTAGGGGTCCAGGTACGCGATACTTTCCTCTTTTTTGACAGGCATCACAGGTTCGTATATAGTTTTTCACGTGGTCATATCGTTGTGGCCAATAATACTGTGCTTTAATTTTATCTATCACCTTTTCTATTCCCAGGTGAGCTCCGGTAGGATGGTTGTGCAGGAGGTATAAAAGGGGTTCAATCTCGTGGGTTTGTATAACTCTTAATAACTTATTATTCTTTACTCCTCTATAAAATAGTTGTCCATTTAAGACAAGAAAATTTTTACTTTGAGATGTTATCCTTCTCTGAGTTCGCGGTGTAATATCGGGCGGGTATTGTGCTGTTTCTAGGTAAAGTTTTAGCTGATTATATTCGTTTGGTTCCATTGTTGTTTTTGTAAAAAATGTTGTTACTAATATATATATATATATATAAAGAATAGATAAAAAAAAAAATAAAAAAAATAATGGTGTAAAAAAAAAATATTAAATAATATAGGTGGTAGGATTCACGGTTATCCACCAGATGGAATTACAAAGATAGGTATCGGCGAAGTTGTCGAATTCAAGAAGATAAGCCAAGGACGGAGTCTTTAGTTTCGGTAACCACCAAGGTACTGTGGCTAACTCTACTCTATTAATTTTGTTTGTATAGTTGATTTCACCTTCCGGGAAAGTTAAATCAACTTCTTCATCAGGCTCATAATCACTTAATAAATAGGTCCCAGGTTCTACATATTCGTCCCAAATTTCTAAAGGTGTATCATCGATGAGGCTCACATTATCTGGATCATAATGGTGAGGATCAGTCATCTCATCTTCATCAGGTTCACTTGGAGTATGCCAATAACTCTTCATGACTTCTTCTGTAGGGTATGACCTTATGGTTACCCATAACCTGAGATCAAGATAACAGGTTATGCATTCATCGCTAGGAGAGTATAAATTTTCATCACACCAGCATCGTGCAGTTGGTCCTTTATAATCACGACAATAACCCTTTCTTTTGTC